TCTTTCAATAGCACTGCGGTAGACTTCTACTCCAAGTGTGATTGTAGTAATCGGGAGTTTGAGGAAGCAGGCAGGGGTACTTGCTTTTTAAGGCTTTCTGAAAATATCAGGACTACGGTACGAGTTGGCTTTAGAACGCTGGTCAGACCTCTATAAAAAATATTACGATCATATATACGTTTGAAGTCCTACTCAAAATTCTTAGACCTCCAAAACTGGGGTCTAAAATTGTATGTGAAAACAGAAGAACTCGTGTTCCTCTCCAAAAACCTTATCTGCATTTGCTTCAACAAACAAAAAAGATTTTCAGATATTTCAGCCACCTAGAGAGCTTTTGGAGGCTGCCTCTGCATCACGGTCTGTGCAACAGGATCTGAGGAGACATCTTTATCAGAGGAACAAACAGCTGCTGCAGAGAAATGGAAACAGTTGGTGAGATACAAGGGAGGATGCAAAGAACGAGGATCACTGAACCTGGAACTAAATGAGTTGAGAAAGAAACTCATGACAGGAAAGACCAGAAAAATGGAGTAGAAAAAAAACGAATAATGTTTATAGTTGAACAGCACTGTTTGACCTCAAGAATACTGAGGCAAAATGCAAAGGCAGGGTGCAGAAGAAAAACAACACTTTTTTGAAAATAAAAAATTGACGCTCTGAATATCTGGAACACAAACTACTTTCTGCAACCAAATTTCTATATACTTATAGCACAGCTGAACAGCAAGGCATGCAATTAAAGACATGTGCCCTATTTGTCAGAACAACACCAGACAGCTTCAGTAACTCAGCGAGGCCCCACTTCCTATTGCTTAAAAGCACAGAGCTTATAAAACAACTCAGTCAATTCCAGTATATGAGCTAATGTATTTGGAACGAAAAAAAAAAAAAGTGCACTGAAAGCAATACTACTGTTTATATTAAATGTAGTAACTGCTTCTCAATGTCCATTTAAACGTGATTTTTTTTTTCCCCTGCATTCTGCAAAGATGGTTTCAATCTGTCACAAACTCTTCCCCCTGCCCTTGACAATATGCTTGAAATATCTTCTCTATCTACGGACCATCAAGGGTTGCACACAGTTGCAGAGGACGCATGCTGCTGAAGAGGAAAGAGAATGGAAAGGGCAGAAATAAGAAGGAAAACGGCAAGTCATTGTAGAGTGGGGAGTTCATAGAGGTTGTATTGGAAACTATCCAGTTTTTATGCAAATAATGAATCCCCGAGAATTACTGAAGTACAAGTACTTAACCATCAGTTTTCAGATTCAGTTGCAGTACCTTTAGTGGAGTTTAGCAAGCTGTGTGAGTATTGGAGAGGGGCAGTAGATACCGAGGCAGTGTGCTCCAACACACAGGCTGCTGTATGTTTCTGGAGGTGTCACCAAAAGTTGACAGTGGTAATGATGCAACTCCTGAGCAGCTAATACTTACACATTTCAGTTTGTATTGATTTACAGCGAGCAAGGAAGAGGCACAATGAGGAATGACACTCAGCTTTAAATCTTTTGATCTATTGACTCTTGTGCTTTTTGTAGCACAATCTGTCCTGCGTCTGTCCAACTTCTGCCTGCCTCAGCCCATGAGGGAGGTTTCAGATGGCTTCTCTGTTCTGGTCCAGGTGCATGAAAGCTTTCATCGGTCTTAACAGTAGCATGAGGTAAATTCATGATGGGAGCTGGCAAGCACTCTTGATGGGCACAGTGCTGTTTATCTTCTTATCATGGTCCAACAGGTAATAGTGTGCTGTCAAACAGCTGAGAAATGTTATTCTGTGTATTTCCATTTCATGACTGGGTTCTGGGATGTAAAAGTGGCTTTATCTAGGATTGTCATTAATTTTTTTATTTTTTTTTGTAGATATTAGTAAGGAGTGGTTGTCCAATATAAGTCTGTAACCTATATCTTAGTTACTTTGCAGTCTATGTAACTGGAAGCCAGTAGAGGAATGATGAATTAATTCAGTCATTTTGTTCAAGAGAGGATCTACTTAACTATCTAATCCACCATAATTGAAATGTCCCATTGTACGCGTTCGTTGCAGTAACTTACTTGTTTTCTAACAGTGTCTCTCTAACTCACCCCTGTCCTGTATCAGTGTGCTTATATGCAGCACTGCCCTCTCCAAGAGTCAGTCAAGAGTGCTCACATGTTTATGGTTAGCTGTCCCATAGGAGGCTGTAAATCCTGGGCCTAATAACTAATAAATATTTCTAGGCTGCTTGCGGAAGCACTTTGGTTCTTCTTTCCACAGTGAGTTGCAAAATGCAACTGACAGGATTGATGTTTGTTTATGGGAAGATCATTTAGAGAAGATGTATCTGATTCTCTCTACTCAAACCTCAAATGAATAAATTGGAGGTCTTGTTGGATATACAAGCCAAAAATATTGCAGATTGTTGAGGGGAAACATTTTGAGCAATGTATTTATGTTTTCTGACCCTATTAGACACTCTTTAAATAAGTATTTAGCATAGCTCTAAGGGCTAAACATTGGTATTAAAAAATATATAAATACTATGGATTTCTCTGTAGCGATACTTTGCTAGTTTATAAAGAAACTAAAAGCAGAACTTGAATTAGTTGACCTAGCAGAACTCTATTCCAAAATGGTTTAACAACCTACAGTTTACGTAAAATTGAGCTTAGGTACAACAGAAGAATGGAGGAAGGAAGAGAAAACTTAGCCATGTATGTATCTGGAAAACTGTCTTGTGCTAAACCTTACTGTTTTGGACAAAGTAAATGAGCATCCCATCTGCTATAAAGAAAAGTAAGCCCTGTCTTTTCTGAGCAGCTGTACTTTTGTGCTCAATGGCAGGCACAAAAGGAAAGGAAGCAAACAAATGCAGTGCTGGCAGGAATTTTGGAAGAAGTAATGGAGATTCCAACATCTGCAGGATTTATTGAACCCACTGGGAATTTGTTTGCTGTGCTTGTGCTGTCCTTTCACCTTCATTATCCTCTACCACAGCCTTTTGTGTTCATTTACCATGACAAGTTGCTCACAGAAAGATGGCTGTGTGTGACCAAATGAGCAGAGCTGGTAGGAAGTGCTTGCATTAGAAGTCATTATGATGATGATCGTATGTTTGCAAGACTAAGTATTTGTCTTAATAGTGCTTTAAGCTTTTCCCACTGCCTGGAAGGCCATCGTAATTTGGGCATGTAAATCATTGTTTTAAGGCAGTGAAACTTATGGGCCCAGAGTGAACATATTATCAAGTTTAAGTGTAATTTCAAAGACCAGTAGCCACTTCCTCTGAGAGCCTGTTCTACTTGTGTTTTAGCTACCTCGTGGAAGAAGGCTGACTTTAACAATGGCACTATCATCATAAACATGGTTAGGGATCTGATAGGTCATTAGGCATGTTGAAGTCAGATAGCTAAAAGATGTTTTAATTATTCTTTTTTTTTGTTTGTTCTAACAGTCACTGCCAGATGCGAATAGCTGATTTCATGCATTAGGCTGAAAGCTGTGGCTGTTAAGGAGCGGATTTGTGACCTTCCATTAGCATGTGAGCCTGAAGCCCAAGGGTAATGCAGCCTCAGACATTTTATTTTGTTCTGCTGCTGTGAGTCTATTTGGGATTTCAGGCTGTGGACAGATACGCTAATCCATTTGCTTCTATGTTGGCTGGAGAGTTTGATTTGTCCGTAATGAGTTGGAGACATCTGACAAGTCATTCATTCAGCAGATTTGAGAGGATGGGGAAACAGTGGGAGTCTGGTAATGAGGAGCTGGGGACCGTAACTCTCACTGCATCTAAGCCAACAGAAAGATGTGCGTGCAACGTATTTGAGAGGTAGAAGGGTTAGCTTTGCCTTCTGGTTTTTGGTCAAATATTATTCCAACTCCTTGTAATTTGGTATATGTATT